ACCATACAGCATTCGCGCTACTGATTTATTTTCTGGGCCATATCTCTCAGCATCTCCAATCAACGAAAATCCTCATCCCTTGAGCCCCAACCTGGAAGGCGAGCTGCACCAACCGAAGCCAGAGCTGAGGCCGACTTCCTCATACCTCTACGTCATGTCATGGTCTGACCGCCGCGGCTCTTCTTCCAGCCTTGCCCGGCGCGTACAAAGAGAGCATGGAAAAGTATTCGATGGGCAAGCATACGCAATACGTGACCAAGCCATCGGAGGCGGTGTCAAGCGATTACTTCTGTTAGAGGACGACTATCCACACCCAACACACGACGGGGGACCTCGTCATTGCTCACGCGATGTTCCCACTAGATACGAACAATGCTTCGGAGACATCGGTGGTCAAAGACAGAAAGTCGATTAGCATCTTCAACGCAGAGGGGCCAGGTCTCGCAGCTGTAAAGGCGAACGCTACGAACCGCGGCGATGTACACCCTTCCCTTAAAGGAGAGTCGGATGTCATGGCGGCGCCACAGGTGTTGCAGGTTAGCGAAAGCTGCTCTAGTTTTCACTATTCGTGATGTGATCTCCACTCCAACGCCCCCACCAGCTGCGATCAAGCTCCCGAGGTATTTAAAGCTCTCGACTACTTCTAGCTGGTCACCACTGAGGGTGAATGTAGGCACAGGCTCCTGCCAGTCTTGAACCAGCACTTTGCACTTAGAAAGTGCAAANTCCCTTAAATACGATGGACATGTTTGTGATAATCAACAAAGAGCACTGGGCAACTGTTTCGTCCTGTTTGGGACTCGTCAGGAGTGCGCGTACTTTTTCTGTCCCTTTCACAAACGTTTCCATCGTATTTAATTGCATATAAACAGTGGGGAATTAACGATCTCCTAAGGAGTGAAACCCACAACCAAAATCATCAACAGTGCTTGGTGCCTATGAATAACCGAATGGACTAATCCAAACATTGACCATCGAAAAAGCGCCAATGTCCCTTTTATCCAATTCGTTAGAACAGAGAGAGAGGACATTTCTTTTAATCTCCTCAGTCCGTACAACATGAACTAATCTGGTATGTATCCAAGAAAGTTTTGATAACTATCGTGATTCAACGGACAGGGAGACGGGGGAGTCAGAATCAGTGCCAGGGCAATTCGGTTGATTGCGTTCTAGCTATTGAGGCGATTCAAGAGTCGTTGAACCGTTTGGCAATTGAGGTTACTCGCTATCTGGTCTGTCATTTGCACCTTCAAAGTGCACAATGTTGTCGCTAGATTGGCAGGAACCCATTCCTGCACTTTCATTGGATAATGACACTCTGGAAGTAGTCGAAAGCTTTGTCTACCTTGGGAATGGCATAACGGCTGGCGGAGGTGTGGGCGAGGAGGTCTTTCAACGCGTGATCAAAGCTAGATTAGTGTTTGCTAATCTGCGGCATCTCTGGCGCCGGCGCGATATATCCCTTTCATTGAAAGGGCG